CGTGGTCATCTTGCCTGTGGAGATGGCCTCGACGCTCCGTTCCTGTCACTACCCTTGCCGGCGACTTTCATATTCCTACTCGTGCCCCTCTTTCAGGTTCAGAGTCTGGTTTTGGTTCACAATCTTTTCACGAGACTCTTGAAGGTGGTGATGATCACATTTTCATTAAAAAGTTTCGTAAAAAAAATGGGAAGCCTTCTTTTTTTTTCACTGAGGTACTCTTGCGTTTTCTTGGCGTTTTGCTCTAGTGAGGAAATTTCTTTATGGTCAGCCAAAACTTGAGATCATTCGGAAAGAGTTTGATGCTATGAAGCTATTGGACAGTTGGAATATTGGCTTACTTGACGGTCGACATATAACAAACATATACTTATTCAGTTATCTCACAATGTGGATTACATTTGTATTTTTTCTCGTAAAGTTATCAAGATCGACTACCGTTTTATAAAAATTTTAAAGTAGACTGTTGATTTTGATTCTAAAGCGGAGTCCCCTATTATTTCTGTTTGGATAAAGTTTTTGAGGTTAAAACTACATCTGTTCAATTTGGAAATTCTCTACTTCTTAGCATCTGCTTACGGTAAGTCTCTCAAGGTTGATAGTCCTACGCTTGCTGTCATCAGACTCTCTGTGGCGACCCTCTGAGGTTTGTGTGTTAGTTGAGAGAGATATCACTCAACCAGCTCTGGATGAGGTATGGATTGGAACCACTTACAACGGGTATTGACAAAAGATTTAAATAGAACCACACCCTTCTTATTGCTCTCATTGTAGTATTTTTTGTCACAGTTTTACTATCTGTTATCACTTGCATCCTCATCTAAGGTGGATATTGCTAAATATTAGCAACATGTTCAAAAATCTTTTCATACTGGATTGGGGGTAGACGTCTTGCCACGTACCATCCCTGCTGAGAAACTGCAACCCGACCCTCTTTCCAACACCGCAGTTCCTGATGAAGAACACCATCCCCAAGTCGTTCTACCCCTGGATGCTCCTGCTTTTGAACACTCTATTTCAGTTGCTGGTTTGGAGCATGGTATTTAAAAGTCCCATGAAGCATCTCCACATACTACAAGTACAGATCCAAACGTGTCAATACAACTCACTGTTATTGAAGAAGTCTCACTTACATGTCAAGACACACGAGAGTATTTTTTTTATCTAATAAAAGATCAGCTGGTACAACAAGTAGTTGCTTATAATGTTCAACAACCTACACATGTCCGACACACTTTAGACCAATCCACTGATCAGGTGAGCTAGTCTTTTGATGAGGAATGACATGTCTATTCCAGGAGGAGGAAGAAGAATGGAGGGCGAAAAGAGGAGCTCAGGAACTTATTAGACGAAACATTGGTTACTACGAGCAATGAGACTCATATTACCAATTTTTAGTTGGCTCCTTTCCTAGAACTAGAGGCAGACGCAGGGCAAAATTGGGTTGCTCTCTAGCTACCTGATACTACGTGTTTTAGCACTTTTGGTTTTTTTTTTTTGGGGGGGAGGCGGGCTATCATGTATTTTTCTGTATTTTCTTTTGTTGGAACCATTTGCATGTGTTTATCGTGTGGGTAGGGTGTCATGCTTGGGTCCTCTCACACAATCTATATGTATCCTTCTTTCTTATCTATATCCTTCTTTTTTTTAATATATTAGCCCTTGGGCTTTCTAATATATATAAATATATATGGTCGGTGGCAAGCTCATATAAATGGCGTCGGTGGCGAGTTGCACCGCTATGGTTTCGCCCGATGGCGATTCCCTGGCTTGATCTTTCGGCTTTCCCGCAGTGCTCGACAATGAATTCTGCGTTCGTCAATCTCTCCTGCAATCGTCGACTCCTCCTGTGCGCCGTCATCACGTCTCGCTCTTCCTTCGCGTTATCCAACTTTTGTGTGGTTGTCGAGCTGCGACTTCCAGGTCGTCTCCTCTCGCTCTTGTTCGCTGCAACTGTTTTGTGACCTGCCTCGTCGAGCTGTGACTGTTCGCAGCTTCGACAACTTCAGTTTTTCGCTCCGACCCCTTCAGCTCGCTATTTTTGCCGCTGCCCGACTTTGGCAGGGCTTTTCTTGTTGTGATGGAGCTTCCTTCGTCTACGGTTGAACCTAGCAAAGCCTCATTTTCCCACGTGGTGGGTAATCCTCAGAGGAAAACGGTGATTGTCTTCCCCTCAAATTATAAGAAGCAACGGGATGGTACAGGTGATTGTCCATTTATCAAGATTGCAAGCAAGAAAAGTGAGAAAACAACATTTTTTTCTCTGAGCTAGAAATTTCATCCCTGACTGATAAATTCAAGTTTGCTCTTATTGGAAAATTTCAATGAGGAGACCCACCTATGGATATTATCAGGAAAAATTTTGATGATCTCAAATTAGCAGGAAAATGAAAAGTGGGGCTCATAGATGGGAGACACGTATTAATTCAACTAACCGTGCATGACGACTACACTGAGATTTTTTCCAAAAAATATCTCAACATTGCTGGTAAACTGGTACATTGCTGGTAAACCAATGAAGCTACTCAAGTGGTCTTCTGATTTTGACCCCAAGTGCGAATCTCCTACTGTAGCAGTATGGTTTAGTCTACCTGGTCTCAAGCTGCACTTTTTTCATCGTCAGGTTTTTTACTCTATTGATGTCATACTTGGGAACCCTTTGAAGCTAGATCTACCCACTTTTAACCTAACCAGACTTTCTGTAGTCAGAATACTTATTGAAACAGATTATTTTACCTAATGTTACTGAAGTCTGGTTGGGCACAACTCCCAATGGATATTGGCAACAAATTGTTATGGAGCATAGATCTCTTTATTGTTCTCATTTTAAGATGTTTGGGCACAACCTTGATAAATGTTATAAGCTTCACCTTAATTTAAAATCTAAAGATCAAATGAATAAGAATGGATCTGACCTCACTGCTTTGGACATATTTGTTTCATCTGGAGAGAAAACTACCACAGAACAGATTATGGTGTCTGATTTAATCACCCCTATAGAACCTCCCCTTGAAAATACTATTTCTGCGATCGATGAGAAGTTGGATGGTCCTGCTGAGCAACCTACACTTTCAAACCCTCAGTTGCAGGAAGCATTAGGTGAAGAAGAGACAATTCGTGCTTCACACACACTAGAACCTACAGTCCTTACAACAATTGACAATCATTCTTCTGGTGCTCATCGTTCCTCTCCTTTGATTCTTTATTTCTTCGTTTCTTTTGTCGGGTAACTGAAACTGAGCATTACAAAAAAATATGAAGCCAAATGAATTGCTTCCAAATAAAAACAAAGACGATGAAGGAAGTCAAAGGTATGGCTTCATGATGAAGACTAAACCAAAAGAAGATGAAGCTGAAGATTAGGACGAAAGCTATGAATTGCTTTTGGACAAAGATGAAGCCACAGACGAAGAGCGAACTATTGGAGACGGGTTGTGCGAGGCTCTGATACCATGTGAAGGAAATAGCTCTTTCTCTTATTCTTCATTCAAAATATATGTTGCATATTTATATACAATATTATCTTTATAGATTAGGAATCTATCTAATATAAGAAAAATTTTGTAATTAGATATGCTTTAATTAGATTACTTAATATTAAGTTTCCTAATATGCAACCTTCCTAATATAGAAGTTTTAGGTTTTATATTTCCATAACTTCCACCACCGTGTTTTTCATGCAAAATGATCATGTTTTTATATAAATTAATAATGATTTTCAGTCATTGTGTAAATTTTTGTAGCCAAACTATGAATTACAATAAAATTGATTGGTTTTTTACAGTACTTTGCCTTCTATATAAATTTATCATACCTGTACTATTACCACATTCATAGAGTGGGGCAAACCTCTCTGAACTCATATTTGATTACCACAAGGGCTTGAAAAAAATTCCGTCATTTATAAAGTTAAACATCTGAAGTTGTCAGCAATGTACAAAGAACCTTCAGGACCTTCAAATAATCAACCTTAATATTTGTGAACTTATGCTGTTGCATTTAAAATGTAAATTCAATTGAGTATTTCATAGGATTCCTGTAACAAGCGCATGCATCAATTCAAGTTTTGACCTCTTGATAAGGACAACCATAAAGTTTTTTGACATATCAGATTTCCTGTGCAGTTCTTTTTCTCTCTCTCTCTCTCCAACACCCCCCCCCCCCC